TTCCCGCGTGTTGCGTGGCCGGCCCTGCTCCTCCCCCCTCCCCTCTAGATGCTGCATGCGCGCACGTCTGTGAGACGCTGTCTCGGTTTTGCGCTATACGTACGTTCGCGTACTTTTATGTTCGTGTGGTGCTGGTGCCCTCGCCGCTATTTCCCTTGGCGTGGCCCGGACTTGTCCTCGTTTCCCTGAGCGATGGGACAATGTTCTCTCGCGGTTTCTGCAGACCAAGGAGATAACGTTTTAGGCATCCGCCGCCCCACCGCCCGAGATGCTGTGGCGCCCGGGCGCGCGCCCGTTATTGCGCGTTGGCGAGCGTGACTCGCAACTCCACTCGCGTTTGCGGTCCACGGCCAAGCGGCTCCCCCCACCAAAGTTGAATCCTCTCCTTAGATACATACATAATTAAAGCGATAAAGGCCTAAATCGTATTTTTCACCGTGCACACACAAAACCATAATTGTTATAAAGCACAAACCCCTGCCAACTTGTGGCAGCTACTAGGCAGCCCCAGCCCCAGCCGCCAGCGGCAGCGCCAGTGGCAGTGCGCGCACATGAAGGGTGGGGGGTGGGGGGTTAGGGGGGTGCCTCAAGGGAACTACATGCCCGATCCGTTGTTGCCAGCGCAGTACAATCCGTGTCGACACCCTCCAACCTCGAGCTACATTACCTCCCCTTCCAGTGCGGATGTCCAAACTCCCTGCCGATGGTGCCAAAGGAGCCCCCGCGCGCCACGAGCACGGCTTCGCACGCTTGGGCATCGTCCTCGTCGACCTCGTCACAGTAGCTGGCATTAAGGCCACGCAACCCCGGCAGCCCCTGGACGAGGCTGATCACCCCGTCCCCGGTCACTGCAGTGAAGGACGCGTCGAGGGTGATCAGGCTCTTGCCATGCGCCCCCACAACGCGCAGCGCACTGTCGTCACAGTCGTCGCATGAACTCACTTTGAGATGCATGAGTCGCTGGCATCGCTGCAGCAGCGCCCCAAGCGCTTCTGCTAGCGGTCCCTCGCACTCCCACGCCAGCTGCTCCAGAACCCCGCTGTTGTGGGCGGCGAGCGCAAACAACGGAGCTGCGGTCACTGCGTGGCGGGCAGTTTGCGTTGTAGACGCCGCGTCGAAGCCTTTAAAGGTGAGGATGCGAAGCGCCGGGCACCCGACAGCCACCGCCGTCAAGCCAACATCGGTGAAGCCCCATTGGTCGCCGCCGTATCCACGCTCATCGCCAATGCGGAGGGTGTGCAGCCTTCTGAGCTGGCCGATGGCGATGAGTTCAGCGTCGCGCCTGCCTCTTCCGCGGCCGGGCGAGGTGGCGGGACCTGCGGGGCCGAGCCCGCTCCGTCCGAGCGCCCCCACCGCCCGCTTCGCCGCGCCCGCACGCGACGGCGAGAGCGCTGCGACCTAGCGTGACGTGCAACCTCGAGCGATTGGTGTGCCGATTACATCGGTGTGCGGTTACATCGGTGTGCCGATTACGACAAATGGTGTGCCATCCCCCCCCGCACACCGCACAACGCACAACAGGTGCTCGTCTTTCCCCTTGTCGGACTAAGAACAGCCAACACAACACACAACAAGTGCTCGTCTTTTCTCCTCTGATACAAAGAACAGGCAACAAAAAGAAAAAAAGTGGTGCTGGCTGCATTCCCCCATTTCTCTTCGATCGATCACGTTTTGCCGCTCCTGCCTGAGGAGCTCACGTTTGTTCGTATTGAGGGCCTAGTCCGTAAAGCACCGCCGCACACGACGAGGGCGTCGCCGATCGATCGTCCCCCGCCGCCCGCTCCGCCGCTCCTCCCTCCGTAGACGACCATACATCACACATTCCCCCTCCTTCAGACGCTTCAGACTGCGCGACCCCCCCCCCCCCCCGGG